TGACTGTTGAGAGGGGGAAAAACGGTGGGGGTGCTCATAAAACTGATTAAAAGCCTTATTAGCTCAATTATGGCTGCTATAAAATATTGTCAGAGAGATAAGCTCTTTGTGGGGGAAATGATATGGCTGCTGCCAGCCTCGTCCATGGCTGGAGGTGTGCGGCATCCTCGCCTCCCTGTGTCCGCAGCCTTTCCAGGGCGGGGAAGGGAGCGCGGCTCCCCGGAGGGACCAAGCCCCGGTGCCGCCAGCCTCCCAGCCCAGCCGTGCCACTCCTCTCCCGGTCCCCTCTCCCCGCTGAGCGGTCACTTTTAGGCAGCCCTGCACGACGTTTGCAGGTCCTGGTGCTGCCAGCGGAGCTCTGACCAAACACCCCGCGCCGCCGAGGAGGGGAACGTGGGGACCTTCCAGCAAGCTCGCACGGGGGGAGTAAATACATCTGCTTAGCTGAAGCAAATCCTTGCAGTGTAAACAAACAGGGAGACATGTTTATTCTTCACTCCATTCACAACACGATAAATATTTATTTCAAGTGAGCAGCTGGTTAGTTAGAGCTTTGTCTAATGCTGGGTTTGATCTACCAACCATTTGGACAAGAGAAGTTTTTTTGTATATTTATGGTCATGAACTGAGGTCCAAAAGCTGTAAGACAGCCCTGAAACAAATCTAAGCATGGGAAATATTCTGGAAGCATCAAAAGTCACAATGGGTCTCGCTCTGGGAAGGATGCAGCCTGCCCATCCGTAACCACATCACATGGGCCACATCAAGCCACGCTAATGGCAGGGCTGAGCACTCCCACTAACACTGAGCACAGCAACAGAAATACTTTCAATTATGACTTTGTGTCTTTCGTCTGCACATGAAAATAGTTAGGCATCTCTCCACGCCCTTACAGGTAACATTTTATCAGTGCTCTCGCTGGGAGGATGGAAGCACATAGTAATTCACGGACAGACGCTGAGAGCCCGCGTCTCTGTGTTTAGCCACGGAGCTCCGTCCCCTTCCAGCACAGCGATGCCTCTCCCAGCCCCTACTTGCCATGAAGAGAGACAGCGAACAAGCGCTTGCACTGAGTGCGCCGATTTAGCGCTGGGTGTTTGTCAGACCTTCCCGTGGGCTGGGGCAGCTCCCTCAGCCCGCTGTTTGCCCTCTTAACTTTGATAAAAGTGCCTTTCCCCCTCCTCTCCAGCTATTTGCCTTGGCAGCTGGTCAGGGGGTTCCAGGCGTGCCCCAAAGCACACCAAACCCTCGCGCAGCACTGCAGGGATGAAGCTTTTCCCTTTCCCCTTCCCAAACAGAGATCAAAGGAAGCATGGACTTTGACCCCAGAGAGGACTCTCTGCTTTCATTCTCCACCTTTTAATCTATTCCGATACAGCTACAAAGCCCTGAAGCAGCAGATATTCAGGGAGAAAATTCAGCTACAGCCCTTTCGCCCTTCTGCCTGCGGCTTCCCATGCTGTGCCTCTCCGGCAGGAGGGACACAGGGAGCACCTCTGGGTTTTCGCAGCTTCAGGCAGCACCACGTGGCTGGCGGGGGACAGCTCACGAGGGAGAAAGGGGGCCACCCTGGGTTTTCGCAGCTTCAGGCAGCACCACGTGGCTGGCGGGGGACAGCTCACCGCGGAGGAGCGAAGCGGGGCGTCTGCAGGGAAGGGCTGCCCTTCTGCCGCCTGCGGGGCTGCACGGGGACGCCGGGGGCCGGGCTGTGGCTGGCGCACGGCATCGTCCCCGCAGCACCACATCACACCTCTCCTGCAGAGGAACCCCTGCGGCGTGGCTCTGGGTGGACACATGTACCCAATCGGCCGTGCCTCATTAAGGGATTACACCGTATTTACAGCAAATCGCTACAGGAAAACAGGACCTGAAACAGTGCAAGAGCAATTAGCCGCTAACGAGTCTTCATAGATAATCTACTGGACACTTGTTTCTCACTCCAACTGTAATTGCTGCTTTAGCGTCAGCTACAGCAGCCAAGATCCACAAAACCCCCTTTATCAGCAAAATAAATTGGTGGTTGCCGATTGCCACGTCTGCACGCTCCAGGGCAGGGGAGAGCTCTGAGGAGCTCAGTGGAAAGGCTCTTGGCAAGGTGCAAGGATGGGGAACGCACCTCCAGCCCGGGCAAGCTTTGGAGGGGCACAGGAGGACAGAGGCTGGGGGGGGACACCAGTGCCAGGAAGCAGGGTGGTCGCCACCGCTGGACTGGGCTGAGGTCCTCACCCAAAGCCAGCAGAGGCTGCGCCCCAGCCCCGCTTTCCACGGCCTCAGGCCCCATCCAGCGGCACACCAGCTCCCCCGGCACCACCCTGCCCGCTGGGCCCACGGGGCTCTGTCCTCCTCCACCCGGGCTCTGAACCCCATTTCAAAACCCACACTGCCCTACTTCAGGCCATGGGTGTTTTACCTTCCTGCTCAGTGTCACCTCTGAACGAGCAGGCGTTGGGTGCTGGGTGACTCCAGGCTGAAGGAACTGTGTCCTCAGCACCAAAACCAGACACGGTTCAGAGCCAGACCTTCCTGCAGGCACACGCCTTCCCCCCCAACACATACAGAGCCACATTACCTTCAAACAGAAGAAAAATGAAATTCACCATTTCTCCTGCAGACCGGCTGGGAAAAGTAAGAGACTGTTGTTTCTGTGTTGAAACTCCAGGGAGATGCTCGGAGCCCTGCCGAGGGGCCAGCCAGGCGATGCTCAGGGAGGGGGAGAGCCAGCACCATGGCCATCGGACCTTTCTAAGCACTTGGACTCATCCTGTCTCGTCCTTCTCCCTGGAGCAGGCGGTGAAGGGCTGCCCATGGAGGGCAGGGACCCCGACACCTGCACAGCCTCCCTCTGCAGACTGGACACCAGCCTGCCGGTCTCCTGGGGCTGTGTCCCCTCGCTGGGTGCTTAGGCACAGGGGAGCCTTCCCGAGCGGCGGCGGGGTGCACCCATGTCACACAAGCAGGGGTGAGGGGGTGGTTTGTCATTGGTTTTTTACCTTACTGCTGCTTTTCCCTGTCTCTGCTTGTCCAAGTCCTCTACAAAGGATGCACCACCTGGCTCCCATGCTCCAGTAACTGCTGTTGCTCTGGCAGCTCCCTAAACCCTGTGCTAATGCTGATGGCAGACGACAGACAGGGAAAGCAGAAACTCCATTTTAGGGGGAAATTCATCAAGCCTGTTTACTGTTTGCGGTGTCCCTCGTGTAGAGCCACTGGGATCTCGAGCACTGACGCAGTCACATGTCTAGAAACACACTTGCTCTCGCCGGAGCCGTTCCAGTACCAACGGGAGGAGGGAAAAGGCAGGAGCAATGACAACAGCTCTCAGCCATGCCCGTACATGATCCATGGTGACTGAGATCAGGTTGACACCTGAAGACTTCTGCATCAGAGGTGTGTAAGTCACGGAGAGGGTCTTTCATGGCAATGTCATTCCGACAAGAGCCCTGGCACTAGTGCCATCAGAGCCGCAGGGAAGGGCAACAGCCCCCCGGTGCGTGGGGGGAGCGGTACCAGCAAAAGGCAGGGCTGTCCCCAGAAACCACGCGCTGACGGCACCAAAGCCCCGGCAGAGGGAATGAGGAGGAGGACACCTACGACGCTTTCCTTGTGTAGCCACAGAGTGTTATTTCACATGCCGTGGATCACAAGCCACTTCTGTCCCCACTGAGGTAACGCAGCCAAGGGGACTGGGATTGCCATCCTTCCCTGCGCTCCTGGGGTCTGACACTGCTGCCTGGGATCCGGAAAGCTTTAACTGAGCTATTTTCTCTGCCTCTGCAATAGCAGGCCCACGGCCTCGCAATCCTCTCAGTGAGCTTTGCCTGCCTTGAACTAGATCAGGAGGCCAAGCCACTTCTCTGTTCGACAGATGGTAACTATATCTAATCCACGAACCTTGCCACGGTCCCAGGCAGCAGTGGCAGCTGCAGAGGAAGCAGAGCCTTGCGACAGCCCCTCAGGTGAGAAGCTCATGTCTCCTCAGCACTGCAAAAGCTTTGGAAATCTTACTCTTCCCCAGCTCGCCCCTGCAGAGTTCAGGGAGGTGTTAACAGAGAAAAATGCTGGTGCTTTAACTCCCGCAGTCCTGACACTGGCACTGCCCGCCACGGCTGTGCCATGCCACCTGGGGACAAAGGATGCGACTCCATGCCCCATGTGCCGGAGACCTCAGCGCTTGCCTGTGCTCTCCAGTAAGGGGGTTTCCAGCTCTGCTCATGCTGCCTGCACCCTCACAGATCACAGTCAGGAGTAAATCCCACTCTCTGCCTCCTCCTGGCCACCTTCTTCCCCAGAGCTGGTGGGGAAATCCCAGCCATGAAGGATGTTCAGACAAAGTGGTCCACAAAAACTGAGCTTCCACCACTCGCAAGTTGGCAGGCATCAACCCCGCAATGAGCACAGCCCTGGGAGCACCCCGGGACCCCCGGGCCTTTCCGCAATGCTGCCCCCCGCCCCGCTTCCAAAAGCACCAGGATAGACCCCGAAGACCGAGAGCTGATTCAGAGACACGTGTGCCCGCAGGCAGACTTTGCTCTGAAATTCTCAAGACACTGTTCACTCCTGTTCGGCTCCCGCAGTGCTGGGTGCTCAGCACGGAGACAGGGAGGGAGCGGAGCGGGGAACCTGCTGGGTTCCCACAGGAATACCCAGCACACACAGGCTGCTCAGCTTAAGCCAGCATTGCTTACATTTCATCCCTGAAAACTGCCTTCTTGCTTTCTTTCACATTTGTGCCTACTTATAAAGTAAGAGCCTGGCCCCTGAGCCTCCAGAAGAAGAGAAGAACGACTCAGTTGGCATCTTGTGGTCCCACTGACCGCTTTGCTAATTAAGCAATTTGCGAAGCACATGCTACCAACTTGTTTGCAATTAAAAGCAAAATTAGAGTGTATTGATGATGGCTAGGTCTGAAGCCCAACTGATGCGGTGATTTCCAAAACCCGACACAGGAGTCTGCTCCTAATGGTCTCTGGTGGGAAGGTATGGATGACGAAGGGTCTTACCTTGGCCTTGCCTGTACTCTGCAGGATGTGCACCAGTGCAGACGCCATCTCCTCTTTGTTCTTCACGCTCAGCGAGGGCTCCAGCACCGAGCACAGCACCATGTAATTGTTAGTGATGTACTCGGCAAACTCTTTGTACATCTCCATGGGAAGAATGCTCATACTCTGGTAGCGTGACTTGATGCGGATCATGGGCCCCGGGGACTTGCCCTTACCGGGGTTGGGGCTGACCACCGGGTACCATTTCTCTACAAACTGTCGGCCCGTGACAGAGCTGACGGGGATGTTCACTTGTCCAATGAAATTGGTCTTGTCCTTCTTTTTCTTCTTGTCAGTCTCTTTGTATAAGTGCACCGTAATGTTTTTGAGCGATGGGAGGTTATTAAATTCAAAGTGCTCCCCCCAAAATACATTATCAGTTTTCAATTTACAGGTAGTTCGTGCATAAAGAACGTCATCCAGGCATAATTCACACAAGTACTTTTTCTTAGCTGGCAGGTCCTTGGCTTCAATAATCCATAACTTTAACATATTCTCTACCCTTCTGCTGTTGTCCTGGAAAAAAGATGCAAAGGAAAAAAGGTCAATAAAAAAACCCCACGAAGCCGAGCACAACAAAAATGGAGATATGAGTTAATTATTTCGGATGTGCTAAATGAGCAGAACCTTAATTACATTTTATTTTAAGGAAATACTGACTCTCAGGAATTTGCATAATAACACTACTTATGTTAATTTTCCAAATATCACCATGTTCTCCATGTCTGCTGGTGCCAATTAATATAAGGAACAAGGAAGATAAAACACCTTCAAATCATAAATGTACCACTTCCCATTCACTGCCAAGAGGGCCTCAGAAGAAACCGAAAGAACCTCACCGATCATTAATGGCTTTTGCAAACCAGAAGCTGTGTTACAGGTATCTCACAACCACCTCCTTTTTTTAGCACAGCTGCTTTACAGCAGCACCAGGGTACATTTTCCTTACTGTAACGGAGCAACAATAAAGGGATCTGAATGCAGACCCAGGGATCACCTCAGCCATGGCTGGAACGCAACCACCTCTGGCAGGGAAAGCAGCATTTACAAACCTCACGATATTTTAGGGCAGAAGTCCAGAGCACCCAACTAAAACATCGAGAGGAATTATGGGAGACAGAGTGAGTCACACAGGAGAATCATGACAATTCAGAAATAGAAATTTGGCTTGGATATCTTTTAAACAATAAGAGAGCAAAGGATACTGTGGATCTTTAAGAGCTCCCCAGTGAGGCTGACCTCATCCTGGAAGAATATCCAGGGGCATTTGTTGCAGGAATGCCTTGAAAGTTAAAGAACTGCTAGGGATTCTGCAGTAACCTGTTTTGTTCGGAAACCCCTCACTGAAACAGCGACCATGGCTTACTCTGCTCAGCCTAGGAGTCTGGGCAGGAACATTTCTGCTGGAAGCCCACAATGCGGTACTGTAGGTTCAGGAAGTACACACAGGAGCTGTACAAGAACATTGAATTCCTGACAGAAATATCAAGTCAGATACTGAGAGTTTATTGTCTACGAACTCAAACAAAGATGGAAAGTTAGCCATCAGCTAATGGTATGTTTTGAGATCAGGGCACACTTCCAAATGAATTTCCACTGAACGCTGCATTTCAATGCCATAGTGATGTGCCCAGCCACAACTCACATTCCCAGGACTTTTCTCATGGTAATTGTGACCATGCAAACCTCATGCAGCCCTTTCAGATCATTACTCAGAAAGCACCCGAGTCACTGAACTCCACATGCAACAACGCTGCTAGAGGCAGAAGTCCACCTCTCCCCTCCGCGGCTCCCGCCGCTCTGATACTGAAGGGCATCTTTTATACGGACATTTGGCACTGCGCTGGGAACGACAAACTCTGACACGGAGGGCTCCTTTAGCAACCCGCCAGGCCTGGACCTAACTTGAATGCACAGTTACGTGGCTCTGAAGCCAGGAATGGATTCACAGAGTCCCATTTGTGTCTTCTCTGATCAGCAGAAAAAGACTTGTTGATAGAGTTGTGAAATCCTGCAGCTGATTAGTCCTCATCAACTGTTATTAGCTAACTCCAGTGCAGAGAGGGAGAAGCAGCTGTAGATTTTATTTTAGGATGTACTTAGTCTTAGAGGGCCATAAAACCGCATTATCGGGTGTCCCTGTATTCTAGTGAAGAGAAGGATTTGTTTTTGTAGATCCTGGAGGGGATGACTTGGCCACCTCAACTGCCTGGAGAAGGTAAGGCTACATTCCACCGTTGCCTCACGGAACTCACTGCAATGGGCATCTGAGTTTCTCCATCACTAAAGCAGACCCTGGAAGCACTACCAGAGTCAGGAAGCGTGATACATGAACTCTTTAGACTATTGAGTCTTGTGAGTTTGCTGGCAGCTACCTGACATCTGTCCCAGAGCTTCTGGGAGGTGGTAAGTCCTACATAAGTGGCAAGTATCATCAGTAACAGAGCAAGACTAAAGATTCTTCAGGTCTGATCAATTCTTAGCAACAACTGAAGCAGCACGTGCTGAGAAAAGAGGGGAAGAAATAATTGGCACTTGCCTGTAAATATAATTGTGGAAGAAAGTAATATGGAGAAAGGCTGACCCACAGTTACACTTACTCACTGACAATACATCCCCTGCTGCTACTATGCACCGGGCTATAAAATGTAATAATGAGGAACTGAACTATAACAGAGGCAATTCCTCAAAGCCACTACCTTATTTGGGTGCACGGCACGCCGCAGGTTTTCCATCCATTTATCTCGCTCTGCTGCAGAACGACACGAGAAGCACTTACTTCCTGATGAAGTCGTCACCTACAGGGAAAGGAACAGGATTATGTCTTGACCAGCACACTGCAGACTGTGATTTGGGGGAGAGGGGGAGTTAGGAAAGATGCTAGTGGATTTTTTTTTTTTTTTTTTAAAGTAAACAGCTTTACCCAAGCATGAAGCAACAGCCCTGAAGGCTAGCGGAAGAACAGGGCAACTCTCTGTGTCACAGAAATAATCATGGAAGCAAATTCCAATTACTTCTCCTCTTCCACACCAGAAAACACTAGATAATGGGACTCATGCATGCGATGCTTTAAACCACCAATTTCCACAATTCAGAGAGTGCAAATCCTTAGATGAACTAAAGACAAATTGCAACCACCTGGCATTCCTCCAGATTCAACCCAAAGCCTGCGACAGTAACAACCCATTCCTTGTTTTCAGCAGAACCTCAGGCTCAGAAAGGCTGGCTTCATACCTTCCCCCTTTGTGTCCCGTTGCTTCTGAAGACCACGCTGTGAAGAACTTGAGGCCAAGTCTATACACCCCACTCCCGGCAGCCGCAGGAGCTCACAGCCCGGCTGGAGCCCTCCGCTGCCCACAGCGCCTGCGCCCCAGCTGGGGAGAACCAGGCTGGGCTCCCGGACCCGGAGACGGCCAGCGGAGCGTTGCTGAGCCCTCCTCTCACCTCTTGCACTTCCAGTATCCACCCAAGGGATCTTTCCGCAGTGTTTGTGAGACTTTCTCTGGTCATCGGGACTTCATAGCCAGGTTCCGAAGAAGCACACTCACAGCAGTGACATTTCCAGTGGTGCAAATGCCCCTTATTCCTTACCACATCCCTGTGACCACATGGAAACTCAGCCCCGTTGAGAGCCCACCGAAGCAGCCGCTGCCCAGCGGCCCCAGGCACCAAATGTTTCTTCCTATCTACCACACCAAGCTTCCTCGGCATCACCTACTGTGCCGAGGTCTAAAAGGCCAGTAGCTCTCTGCATCTTCTCACATACACGTAACCCTCAAGCCGCGACCTCCTCCAGGCCCTGCTGGCAACCCGACAGACCACGACTGTGGCCCCAGAACCTCGCACTGCCCACAAAGCCCTCTGCCAGCTGCTCTGCCCCTCTCTGCATTTGCTGCGTTTGGTGATGTCCAGTAATATTCTTTATGTACATCTCTGCTTGCAGGCCAAACGGACCTGGCTAGTGCTTTAAATAACTCCCCCCTGAGCTTCACTTCCCCCAGCCTCAAGCTGCAGAATTATTTGTGAGTACTTTATCATCTCACAGTGTTTGTGTTTACACACCGCTCACTGGGTTATCTGCTTCTGGGAGACACAATCTCCTTTAATTTCATATATCTCTCAGAAGCCTAACCTGTTCTTAGAGCAGAGCTGGCACTTGCTAAGATTTGTCATTAGCTAACCTCAATGAGGAGTTGAGCACATCCCTTCCTTTGAACACAGACATCTTCTAACCGGGACAAAATGCCAAGAGGCCTATCCTGTCTTTACACAGCAAATGGAAGAAATCTTCCAACCCCTGACATGCCAGAAGCACTCTCCTTCAGGCAGACACTCTTCCCTGTCCTTACACACTTTCATCCTCTGTTCTGTAAATTTAGATACTCTTCTGAGCACAAGATACCTTCTATTCCCAAGAAAAGACGAATCCAATAGTATGGAGCATCCTTTCACGCTTCAGTGTATTTCCAGCTTCTTCAGTTTCCCATTACAAATCTGACCTGCTTCATCTCCGGCTGCAGACGCTCATGTGAGCCTCCATCCCGGAACCTTCGCAAATGGACTTCTGGTGGCACAAGAGATGCAGCACTTGCAAGACTGTGCACAGCGTGTGACCCCTGCACCCCTGGCTCTGCCAGAGGGTATGGCAGCTTTGCATCGCGATCCTCTTCTCGCTAGGAGTTCCTGCAACAGCATTCAAGCCGAGCATAGCCACACACCTGACTGGTAATAACACCTGAAGAGAAGCAACACACGGCTGCAGTACCGTTGACATGGTGCTGCACCACCTTAACACTGAATGACAAATACAAAGATCCCAGAAGTACCACTTAGCAACAGTTTTTAGTAACAGAACTCCCAGGGAAGTACCATGGCAGATGCACAGCAAATGAGCACTGGTCCACACAGCTCCCTAGTTGCTCGATCGATGTGAATTTCTAAGGCTTCAAAACTGTTCTTCAGACAAGAACCAACAATTCAAACTTGAGCCTTGTCTTATTTGGCCCATCTAATTCAGCTGCAAAAACTCAAAATCATCCATGTTCAAGTCCAAAACACTGAAGTCCTGACTACTGGTACAGCCACACTGCAGGTGTTAGGGATGGGTTTCTGTACCTCTCACTGGGAAAAACCCTCCCACTGACATTCTGACCAAGGTGCACAAAATTCAGTCCCCACTGATTGCTTAGAAATCAGTTAATAAAGGTGGAACAGGTCAAATACACCTTTCAGTAAACTATACTATTAGTCCATTGCCTCAAAGGCCATTTCTCACCTAGCTTTTTGGTTAGCTCTTTTGTTTTGATGGGATTTTGGCATACAAATGCGTCGGAAAACAATCTTCACAGATCTAGAGAATTTAGTAGGAAGCTTGGAAGCTCTTCCATGAAAGAGAATGATTACTTTGATTTTGTTGAAAGATGCTCTCTTAAAACAAGTCCTCCTTGGTGACATACATGAATCCCACAGCTGCCTAGAGGATTCATATCCAAATAAATAAGCATGCAATTTAGCTGTCCTTCTATTGAATCTGTTAATTAAATGTCACTTTTTTACCAGCTATCTGTTAGGTTGAATATCTAATATATTTTCTTGCCACACTTAAGTCAACATATTATCATTGAGTTATCATGGAAAAATTTATGATTCAATTCCAAACCAATTACTGATTAACTAATCACTCAAAACCTACAAAAACTGTAACTGTCATACTTAAGTGAGAGAAGGGGAAAATCCTCACGTGTCAGACGTGAAGCCCTCTTTATCTGATGGGAGTTGAAGGTTCTATCTACCATGTGTGACCAAAAACGTAATTTCCCCCAGACCTGCAATAGCATCCCAGCTTTGAGCTCTGACCTAAACATCATATGGCATTAATGATCTTCATGAGATATTAATTATCTTGATAAAGAGAGTATTCTGATCTCATCAAGATTTTGGATATGCTAGAATGCTATTAATGTACAGGATAAACTCAATTAATAAAACTCATTAATTTCTAAAATGTTACTTATTCACATTCATTATTCAAGTCCTCGGATGGGTGATCCCTTAAGTCAGATAAAATCTTGTCATTTTAAGAATGTCTTAGGTACAGCATGGGGTCCTCAAAGTACACTTGAAAGAATCTCACTCGAGTAACAACAGAAGATGGTAACTGAGTTACTGAAGCTGCTTCCTTCAAAGTGTTCAAGAGATTTTATGAGGGAAAGTTCGGGCTCAAGCCGGTAAACACCACCATGACCAAGTGCAGACGGGCAAACCGGCGCTGCCTGGGCCAGCCCCGCAGACCCGTGACGGCTGCTCAGGGCGTCTGTGGGGCCATGCGAGCAACGGCGAACATTTGCACAGCTGGTCTAAATTTAGTGGAGCTAAATTTAGCTCCACTAAATTCCCCCTTGCTCAGGCACGGCCAGGATGAGGCGACACGGTTTCAGTTGTATCAGAGCAACTACAGTTTTTCTTTCTCCTGCTCCGCATCCCCAGCTATGTCCTGCAAGAGCCCAGACACAAGCTGTGCAACAGGACAAGACGCTGGTCTGCCAAGACAGTACCAGAGCCCTTCGGTCCTCACTCCCCTGCCTGGCCCAAGTCACCAAGACCCCACAAATAGCAAAGCCAGGAATAGGCTCTGGGAGTCTGGACTCCGAGTCTCCTTCACTGGGCTAAGATGCCTATTGTACATTTAGCACACAGAGCATATGCAGTGGCACTAGATGGCTGTGCTGACTGGGAGGTCTTGTAGGGAGAGAGAAGATGATGTTGGGCAACTTTAAAAAAAAAAAAAAATCAATGAAGAAAACAGGTAAATACTGACGGCCAAGTCCTCAGCAAGTCAGAAGAAAGCAAGTTTCATGGAACTAAATAAGCAGAAAAAGCCAAATGCAGCATTTGAGAAAGCACTGCATTACTGCTGACTCTCCTTACCCCCGGCAGAGCCCAGCCGAGGGGCAGCAGAGCTGAGCAGACAGCTACGGCACATCTTAATGCAGGTCAGCTGAGCTAAAGGAGAGAAACGATTGCACTGTACCTTCATACAGCCAGCTCCCTCCAAACGAGCCACTTGGTTTTTTTCCACTGCAGATGGCTTTGGCACCTCTCGCTTTTGTCTCCGTTTGGGTGCGCTGCCAGTTCTCTCTCTCAACCTGCCCTCTTCGGCACGACTCCATCCGCAGCCATGTCAAATGCTGCCGCCTTGTTCTCTGAGCCACGAGGCGGGTGCCGCAGCTCGGTGGAGGAGGACCTGTGGCACGCCGTACCTCGCACTGCCCGTGCTGGGCAGCCTGGGCTGCAACCAGCTTCTGGAAAAGCTGCTGCACGCTGTTGTTGTTGAGGGACCCCAAAGAGCACGCAGAGCCAGCCCAGCCAACCGAGCACCAACATCCCAAATGAGAACAGACACCGGCCAGCTGGGGATGGAAGCAGCTTCCTAGGCACTGCCCACTCCCCGACCACCCCACCACAAGGAGACGGCAGTTAGGAACAGTGTAAGGCTGGCACTGCCCAACATCAGCAACACTTTGCTTCTCAATTTGAGAAGGCAAACTTGTCTGTTCCTGACTGATCTCCCTAGAGAACAGATCCACAGTAGCCTCCAAGTGCAGTGACAAGGCACCATTACCAACCCACAGCACCTTCGCAATCCACCGTGCAGAAAATGTCTTGGTTCCCTTTGTCTCCGTGACTCTGGCAGTAACCTCTCACTTGACATTTCTTAGTCAGGGCTCCTTTTCCAGGACATCAGCTGAGCTTCTCACTCTTCAGTGTTCCCAGCTCCTGGCATCAGCTTCACTCTTCCTTTCAGCCTCATGCAGGCTTCAACCAGAGCTTTCCCAGTTCCAAGCCACAGGAATCGCTACAGGTTTTACTGCTCTTCGCTGAGCTTCCACTGCAAGGCGGCAGCAGCCTTTGCCAAGTCTCATCTGTACTTTCAGATAAAGCAACGCTGAAGGACGCAGGATCACAGGCCACTGATGGGACCCCCACGACACAGCAGTAACTGAAGGCAACGTTCACGCACTGAGGAGGAGAAGATGCTTGTGTGGTTTTGTAGCTCAGCTTTCACTATTGCCTGACTCGGAGAACTGTGTAATAAAGTTGCCCATGCCAATGCACGCGTGGGTCCGGAGGGGCCAGCAGCAGCTGCCCAGCCTGCCCCAGCACACGCTGCTCCTCTGCCCGGGCGCGAGGCATGGCCCAGGCTCACCCCTCCAGCCCTGCGCTGCCCGAAGGCAATGCTAACCCTTTTCTTCCATCAGTTGTACCTAAGTGCACGGCGGATTGTGGTCACTGCCCGCTACCCACCAGGGATCCTGGGAGATCTGCAAACTCGTTTCAGTGCTGACCTCGCTCTGAATTTGAAGGAGGCTCTCTGGAGATACAAGACCAGCGCATGAACACAATACGCCATTTAGCGCTCACCTCAGTCCTTCCCGCTGGAGCTTGTTGATGAGTAACCGTCAGTTACAAATCAATGTCCCTTTTGTTTTCTGGCATTCTTCCTTTCCTCTGCAGGATTTGCAGAGCAGCAATTAACATGTTCTTTTTTTCTGTATGACTCTTCTTTATCCAACTCACTTAAAAATAAAATTGTCTTCCTCCTTACAAGTGCATGACTTGTGTAATTTCCCTCTCAGTCAACTTTCTACAAGTACTGTTCATATCCCTTCCCCTGCTCTTATGTGTTGAACAGAATTGGTAAACAACTCGTATATTATGGATGTCACATCTATTTTCCATCTAGCTTCATTTTATCTTTCTTGAGTGGAATGTAATAGAGGCCATATAATTTACAAAACTGTTCTCCTCCTGACCTGCCACACTTGCTCAATTCTACAGAGAATGAACAGCACTGGAAAATTTATACCTCAGCCCACTTCAGAGTTTATGTTTGGGGCTATTTTTTGTAAGACTGTTTTTGTGTTACCTGCTTGTATTTTAAGAAATGGATCTTTTAACTCAGTTCTTTCCAAGTGTGCTAATTGCAATAAAGAAAAAAAATCTTTCTCTCTCCAGTCTGAGAGACACTGCCAAGGCTGTCTTCATCTAGCTCTGCCCATCCAGGAGAAGCCTGCAGTCCCATCACCCCCTACAGTACGATCCAACCATGGATATATGGGCTATCTGCTCTTCTATATCCGAGTACAAACGGGTTGCCTTCTCTTCACAGAAACAGAAGTATTGACCGCCTTATTACTGTAAGAAAACCATTTCCCAGTTCTATATTCAGCCACTGCCATAAGCAATAATACTTTGCCATCCATGATGCAGGGCAAATGATTCCCAAGACATACTACACTGAATTATTCAACTACAGACTGGTTTGTATATGTCCTACCACCTCCTGCTACTACAGACCTAACCACATGCCATAAGACATGTTAAAAAACCCTGAAATAGATTTTCCTATTTACTCAAACAAGTGAACCTTCAGTTTTCTAGACAGAGTCCCACTGACAACAGTAGGCTATCTTTGTGACCATACATAATGTCTTTGTGAACCGTGAGTAGAGATTAGCACTTTCCGATACCTGTATGAACATAAACTACAGATTTATGCTCCGCTAATACACAGCCTTAAGTAGTCCAGCACCTGTGCCAGCAGAGAGCTCTGCTGCGACAACGGTTACAAGGCAAAGAGCTCACTGCTCTGATTTTGTGGATATGATCCTCCTTGGAAAGATGGGAGTAATTTTCTGCCTATGAAATGGTCTCTGTGTAGCAATTCAGAGCAGAAACGTTTTGTAACAGCGAGAGGCCGAGATGCAAGCCCACAGCTGGCTCCCCAGTCAGCCCCGGGACAGACAGAAAGGCTCCTTACCTCAAAGCAATAGTCTTGTCCCAGGATGCTGCTGTGGACTGGCTTGATGACCACTTCTTCCTCCATACTGAGATCCAGAGCCTCAACAGCACTACTGGGACTGAGCAAAGACTCGTGGGAGCGCGATTCTTTCAGCCTCGGCATTAGATGGGATCTAGAGGAAAAATGTAACGGTATCAGTGGATGCTTTCCTTCCCAGAGAAATTATTTAGTCCATCTGTTAGCAACAACTGCAGAATATTCCTGGGAGTTTTTTGCCATGAGATAACCGAGGGCCCAGAATAGCAGGGACTGCTGCGTCGTCCCATTTATAATTTGGTGAGCAGGTTCCATTACAGGCTGTACGTTCAGCAAAAACATTTTTTCCAAACTGACGCACTCGGGACTACATGACGAGAGGTTTGTAGACTGCGGGTCTCTGCACAGCCCAGTACGTCTTTAAACGGCCATCGCACCTGCCGCGCGAGGCCTCCCAGGTGCGCTGCAGGAGGAGCGGATCCGGGAGGCCGGCCGGCCCCCGCACGAACTACTGCGCTCCTCAGTACCGCAGCCGGGTCTGCAGCACCCGGCGCTGAGCTCCG